GCTGAATTGGACGTCGTCAACGCTTTAAAGGTGTGGGATCAGGAGAAGATTCAGTTGAAGTTGACCAGGAGAGGAATTGAGTGGAAATTTAACCCACCCGCGGCCAGTCACCAAGGCGGCGTATGGGAGAGACTTATACGGTCTATCAGAAGGATCCTTCATTCTATGGTGGGAGAACGCCTCGTAGACGAAGAAACCCTGAGAACATTCCTCATTGAAGTAGAGAAGATTTTGAATGACAGGCCAATCACGCCGGTCTCTGATGATCCAAAGGATTTGGAAGCACTGACGCCGAACCATATCCTTCTGTTGCGCCGAAACCCGTCTTCATCCCCAGATTTATTCGAGGAGTCAGATCGATTCAAAGCCAGATGGAAGCACGTTCATCTTCTCGCAAATGAATTTTGGCAGAGGTGGACAAGGGAATATCTGCCAACGCTCCAAGAACGCCAGAAGTGGTTACAACCTAAGCCAAACTTTATAGTAGGAGATTTAGTGTTGCTTGCAGACAAGAATTTGCCCCGGGGTCAATGGCCAAAGGGCTTGGTCGAGCAAACCTTTCCTGATAGCGAAGGCATGGTACACCAAGTTGTCGTCAGAACAGCGGACGGAGTGTACCGCAGAGATGTCCGGAAGCTCTGTCTATTGGAAGAGCAGTTACTAGGTGGCTTGGAACAGCGGCCAAAACCTCTTTGAAGCTACCAGTTCATGTGTGTAGGAAGGGCACCGAGAAGTGTCTGAACTGTTCCGAAAGGTTAAGATAACTGAGGGAACTTTTGAGGAACTTTGTACTGATCGGATAGTTTCGACTGGTTTTTTGTACGCTCAGTACTAGTTTGTGCTAAAGTAGAAAGACTCCCCAGTCGTCTTTCGTGGGGGAGCGTGTAAGAGAGAAAATAAACGTTATATGGTGTGGTCTTCGGTGACCGCACACAAAATATCGCGGGCGCTCTTTCCCACAAAAAAGCACATGTTTTGTTATGGAGTTATACTGTCGTTTCGTCAGGACAAGTTTTCCTTTCCATTAAGAAGGCACAATAACTTGTAAGTATGCAGTATTTTCGGTTATTCGGTCGATATCATCTTTGTAATAGTTGCGTTGTTGTTATTTCAGCGAATCTTTCTCTTTCACGTGCAATTTGTGAATGGAATGAATACAAGTTATGTGCAGATTAGAAACGAACTAGCAAGTGAACAACTGACTAAAGTACAGTTTCAAGTAGCTATGAGTGGACGCTACAGACACTTTTTCCCGTTTTTGTGCATCTATCGCTTTGTTGTGGGGTGTTGTTACCGAGCAGGTTTTTGTGATCTCCTTTATAGAATTGTGAACTAGGTAATAGGTAAGACAAAAGGAAAGAACAAAGGAGAAAAACAAACAAAAAAGGTGTTTTTTGACCCTAGAACTTGTATTTTCGTGTGTTTTCTGTGGGTTTTCTACATTTCTATTTTCCCTTTTTTTTTACCCAAGGTGCCAAAGCTGTTTACCTCTGTGGTGGCCTACCCAAAGTGCGCGTATGCTAATGATGAAAATTTTCGTTTTTATCAACGGTGTTGGTACGCAAGGAGGAATGTTTTTGTACCCGATCCCCCTCATAGAGACGAAATTGACTAGGGAATGATTGGCAAACGTTTGCAGCGGTTATCGAAACAACAGTCTTCCTCTAACTATTCCAGGCAGAAGAATTCTTTGGAGAGGGAGCTCGCGAGTTTTCTGTCTAGTTTATCATCCCCTAAGCTTAGCTTTTCTGGTATGGAAGGACCGTAATGGTAAAACGCTCGTTCATCTGCGTGATTGTGTGATTGTGTATGGTTCGTGCACACTCCAAGTTTACAGCACTCTTGTAGCTGTCCTAGGCACCTTGCGTTTGGAACAGTGGACGCCTTGATAGGGAAGTTGCATTCCATTTTTGCTACGCAGGGTAGGGGTTCCGACTGGCAGCCTCTTCTAGGGGTGGGTAGCCCGGCGGCATGCAGAACGGTAAAAAAGTACCTGGCAGATGTAAAAGAGGAACAGTTAAAGTCAAGAATTGTCCCTTGTCCATCGGAACTGGTCCTCCTGGCTGATCTTGCAGTGATTTCTCAGCATATTGAAACTCGGCTCCTGCAAAGCTCGTCTTTAGAACCTTCACAAATCTTTGTTTTGGCACGAGATCAGGCACAGTTCAAGGTGTTATTCTTTGCAGGGGATCGGGCGGCTGATCTTTTACAGTTGAAAACTGGTGATATTTTGCATTTCCGGATAACTCGGGTTTCCTACTCAACCATATCTGGACCAAGACGTTGCGATCGGGGGACAAGCACGTCTTCACCTTCAAGAGGGGTACTAATAAGATGGTGTGTCCTCTCGGTGGCCTAGAGCTCTACGTTCGCATTTGAGGCCTTCTGGGAATAGAGCTTGGTTCGGGCTACCTTTTCCGCCCTGTTTCTAAGACAGGGACAGTGTCTTCTCAATGCATTACCTCTCGAGCTGCCTAGACGATGCCAAATGTTTACCCCGTGTCTTTACGCTGGCAGCTAACAAGGGAACACTTCACTCCTCATGGTTTTCGTAGTGGGGCGGCAGTCTCTATAACTGGCTGGTGTGGACTTTCATGCAATTATGGATCATGTTGGTTGGAAGAGAAGTGACATGGCTTTGCACTACATCAAGTTAAAGCCACTGATCAACCCGGAAGGTGCGGCTGCCAGTTTGGCGTATCTTCCGTCTGATGCTGGCGCAGACTACAAATGTTTTGATGCTTTGAGAGGATTTTCTCGGGCTTTCTAAACTGTGCCTAAATGAAATGAAAGGAAAATAGCACAGGGAAGAAAACTGTGATTTATTTAACATAGAAACAAAAACAAAAAAAATCTTCCTAATTGCTGGAGGTGTCTCGTTGGTAATAGTAGAGAAATAAACATATAGTAGACTCTTAAGGATGTATGGTTTACGCTTAGGGACTTGGGATAAGGATTGGAAGACTTGTTTCTCAAGAGCGCTGTCGGGGTGTTTGGGTGTTTCATACGGTGGCGTATGGCTTGGGTGGCTTCGGGAAAGTCAGATTCATTCCCCATACCTTATTATAATGTCATGAATAACAATACCCAGGGATGAATATTATACTATTCACTCATCCATTCATTCAGTAAATCGAAGTATACATGCTTATACGCTCACGTAGCTGAACGCTTTTGAGTAAGGGGGTTAGGGAAGGAGTTCAAGCAATTCGGGCTATAAAATACAGAAAATATGTGGCAGGAAATTATATACTCGCGCATGCGCACCTTTGGCACGGAAGTACACAAATACAAATCAAATATTTGAGTCAAAAGATGGCACAACAAGTATGAGAATAGTGAGTTAGATTAAAAGACACAACGTTTGTTTAAATGATGTGCTTACTGAGTCCAATCGTACTGAATTACAGACTTGTGAAGTAGAGCAACGAACTTTTGCAACACCCTGTAGTGGGCTATTCTGCTGCAGTGGCATGGAATTATAGAGAAAACGATGACAACTTTCATTGTTGGGGTCCAGGAAGTAAGTGATCTAGAAACCTTCAAATATCCATAATTAACTGTGGAAGAAGTTGCTTAACTGAACGAAAACCCAAGCATAGACAAGCAGGAAATCAGCATCACTGTTAATTTTAACCACGAGCACAACCCTAAGCAAAAAATATGCTTCTGGACTAGGGCTAGCATGGCGAATGAATAGGTCGCGTAATGTTGTGCATGAGGCAGTGATTTCAATTTTTCATCTTTATACGCCTCTAATGTCTTCCAAAAGGAAAGGCAGATCTAGTGCAGCATCTCAATCTTCTAATCAGTCACCTGAACAGAAAAGAAGCAAAAATAGTGAAACTGACAAAGTGTTTGAAGCGCTCGAGATGGCTGAAGACGTCGGTCTGAAACTGCAGCATGTGCTGGATAAATTAGAAAAACTTGATTAGATAGAAGCGCATCTTAGCAAGGTTTCTGCCAGTCTTGCTAGTATCGAGGAGAAAGTTTCTTGTTTAGATGAAGATGTACAAGACCTGAAGCAAAAAACAAACAGAGTGGAAAAGAAAGCGTCGAAATTGGAAGAAAGTATCCAGTTCAAAGAGGACGACATTTCAGACCCAAAGAAAGAGCCAAAGGAGTCAAAGTTTGAAATAAATGATCTTCGCAAGCAGTTATTGTATTTAGAAACCTACTCAAGAAGAGATAGGACAAGTTTTCCTTTCCATTAAGAAGGCACAATAACTTGTAAGTATGCAGTATTTTCGGTTATTCGGTCGATATCATCTTTGTAATAGTTGCGTTGTTGTTATTTCAGCGAATCTTTCTCTTTCACGTGCAATTTGTGAATGGAATGAATACAAGTTATGTGCAGATTAGAAACGAACTAGCAAGTGAACAACTGACTAAAGTACAGTTTCAAGTAGCTATGAGTGGACGCTACAGACACTTTTTCCCGTTTTTGTGCATCTATCGCTTTGTTGTGGGGTGTTGTTACCGAGCAGGTTTTTGTGATCTCCTTTATAGAATTGTGAACTAGGTAATAGGTAAGACAAAAGGAAAGAACAAAGGAGAAAAACAAACAAAAAAGGTGTTTTTTGACCCTAGAACTTGTATTTTCGTGTGTTTTCTGTGGGTTTTCTACATTTCTATTTTCCCTTTTTTTTTACCCAAGGTGCCAAAGCTGTTTACCTCTGTGGTGGCCTACCCAAAGTGCGCGTATGCTAATGATGAAAATTTTCGTTTTTATCAACGGTGTTGGTACGCAAGGAGGAATGTTTTTGTACCCGATCCCCCTCATAGAGACGAAATTGACTAGGGAATGATTGGCAAACGTTTGCAGCGGTTATCGAAACAACAGTCTTCCTCTAACTATTCCAGGCAGAAGAATTCTTTGGAGAGGGAGCTCGCGAGTTTTCTGTCTAGTTTATCATCCCCTAAGCTTAGCTTTTCTGGTATGGAAGGACCGTAATGGTAAAACGCTCGTTCATCTGCGTGATTGTGTGATTGTGTATGGTTCGTGCACACTCCAAGTTTACAGCACTCTTGTAGCTGTCCTAGGCACCTTGCGTTTGGAACAGTGGACGCCTTGATAGGGAAGTTGCATTCCATTTTTGCTACGCAGGGTAGGGGTTCCGACTGGCAGCCTCTTCTAGGGGTGGGTAGCCCGGCGGCATGCAGAACGGTAAAAAAGTACCTGGCAGATGTAAAAGAGGAACAGTTAAAGTCAAGAATTGTCCCTTGTCCATCGGAACTGGTCCTCCTGGCTGATCTTGCAGTGATTTCTCAGCATATTGAAACTCGGCTCCTGCAAAGCTCGTCTTTAGAACCTTCACAAATCTTTGTTTTGGCACGAGATCAGGCACAGTTCAAGGTGTTATTCTTTGCAGGGTATCGGGCGGCTGATCTTTTACAGTTGAAAACTGGTGATATTTTGCATTTCCGGATAACTCGGGTTTCCTACTCAACCATATCTGGACCAAGACGTTGCGATCGGGGGACAAGCACGTCTTCACCTTCAAGAGGGGTACTAATAAGATGGTGTGTCCTCTCGGTGGCCTAGAGCTCTACGTTCGCATTTGAGGCCTTCTGGGAATAGAGCTTGGTTCGGGCTACCTTTTCCGCCCTGTTTCTAAGACAGGGACAGTGTCTTCTCAATGCATTACCTCTCGAGCTGCCTAGACGATGCCAAATGTTTACCCCGTGTCTTTACGCTGGCAGCTAACAAGGGAACACTTCACTCCTCATGGTTTTCGTAGTGGGGCGGCAGTCTCTATAACTGGCTGGTGTGGACTTTCATGCAATTATGGATCATGTTGGTTGGAAGAGAAGTGACATGGCTTTGCACTACATCAAGTTAAAGCCACTGATCAACCCGGAAGGTGCGGCTGCCAGTTTGGCGTATCTTCCGTCTGATGCTGGCGCAGACTACAAATGTTTTGATGCTTTGAGAGGATTTTCTCGGGCTTTCTAAACTGTGCCTAAATGAAATGAAAGGAAAATAGCACAGGGAAGAAAACTGTGATTTATTTAACATAGAAACAAAAACAAAAAAAATCTTCCTAATTGCTGGAGGTGTCTCGTTGGTAATAGTAGAGAAATAAACATATAGTAGACTCTTAAGGATGTATGGTTTACGCTTAGGGACTTGGGATAAGGATTGGAAGACTTGTTTCTCAAGAGCGCTGTCGGGGTGTTTGGGTGTTTCATACGGTGGCGTATGGCTTGGGTGGCTTCGGGAAAGTCAGATTCATTCCCCATACCTTATTATAATGTCATGAATAACAATACCCAGGGATGAATATTATACTATTCACTCATCCATTCATTCAGTAAATCGAAGTATACATGCTTATACGCTCACGTAGCTGAACGCTTTTGAGTAAGGGGGTTAGGGAAGGAGTTCAAGCAATTCGGGCTATAAAATACAGAAAATATGTGGCAGGAAATTATATACTCGCGCATGCGCACCTTTGGCACGGAAGTACACAAATACAAATCAAATATTTGAGTCAAAAGATGGCACAACAAGTATGAGAATAGTGAGTTAGATTAAAAGACACAACGTTTGTTTAAATGATGTGCTTACTGAGTCCAATCGTACTGAATTACAGACTTGTGAAGTAGAGCAACGAACTTTTGCAACACCCTGTAGTGGGCTATTCTGCTGCAGTGGCATGGAATTATAGAGAAAACGATGACAACTTTCATTGTTGGGGTCCAGGAAGTAAGTGATCTAGAAACCTTCAAATATCCATAATTAACTGTGGAAGAAGTTGCTTAACTGAACGAAAACCCAAGCATAGACAAGCAGGAAATCAGCATCACTGTTAATTTTAACCACGAGCACAACCCTAAGCAAAAAATATGCTTCTGGACTAGGGCTAGCATGGCGAATGAATAGGTCGCGTAATGTTGTGCATGAGGCAGTGATTTCAATTTTTCATCTTTATACGCCTCTAATGTCTTCCAAAAGGAAAGGCAGATCTAGTGCAGCATCTCAATCTTCTAATCAGTCACCTGAACAGAAAAGAAGCAAAAATAGTGAAACTGACAAAGTGTTTGAAGCGCTCGAGATGGCTGAAGACGTCGGTCTGAAACTGCAGCATGTGCTGGATAAATTAGAAAAACTTGATTAGATAGAAGCGCATCTTAGCAAGGTTTCTGCCAGTCTTGCTAGTATCGAGGAGAAAGTTTCTTGTTTAGATGAAGATGTACAAGACCTGAAGCAAAAAACAAACAGAGTGGAAAAGAAAGCGTCGAAATTGGAAGAAAGTATCCAGTTCAAAGAGGACGACATTTCAGACCCAAAGAAAGAGCCAAAGGAGTCAAAGTTTGAAATAAATGATCTTCGCAAGCAGTTATTGTATTTAGAAACCTACTCAAGAAGAGAAAATGTTAAATTCTTTGGGATTGACGAGAAAGTGCCGGCTTCTGAAGTTGACTCCCCACCGAAGGATACAAGAGATTTAGTGTTCAAATTCCTGGAAAACAAACTTCATATTGAAAACCATCGCGGTAGAATCGAGTTCCAGTACTGCAAAGAAAATATTTATACGGAAAGTGGGGAATTCTCCTCTGAGGAAATCCATGCAGCCAGGATAAGAGTCCATGGATTGGGAAAGCCTAACAACAGCAGTGACAAACCTCGCCTAATTATCGCACGTTTCTGACGATATTCGGACAAGGAAATGGTGATGGATCAAGCACGCAAGGAGTTTAAGAGTCAAGAGGACAAACAATTTTCGGTGTTTGACAATATACCAAAAGAACTTTATGAGATAAGGAAAAGTCAGATGAAAAAGTTCAAGAAAGCCAGAGGCAAAGGCTGTACAGTATATTTCAGCAACCAGATAAGTTATTTGTTAATGGTAAATTTATCCCTGCAAATGCTCCATTGACAGATTTTGTTTAGGTACGAGCACTGCTCTCTGCACATTTCCAGAGATAAAAATGTACATGTAAAAATAATACTCTCATTGGAGCTTTTCTTTCACTCTGCTCTCAAATAGTCATGTATTTACATATAATTTCCTCGTAATCTGTTGTAGGCGTCACTATCACTGTCTCTAAAGCTCAACTAGGCTTTTTGCTGTCGTACGCAAACATGCAATCTCAAACAACTTTACTTAGTTCCATTCCAGAGTGCAGCATTCGAGATAGTTATCTTGCTGCTCTTTTAATTGTTTGTACCAGTATTAAGTGGTTGTACTCTACTGGTTTTGTTTTCGTGGTTATTTTCCTTTTATTTTCTGTTATTCAAAGCTATCGCAGCTTGTCAATAAAGAATTTCTTTGAGTGTCAGATTGATGTAAATGTGTTGATAAATTTTTCCCACCAAATTAGGTCCTACTTATTCTGGCAATATAGGGCGTAATAACCAGTTCAATCTTTTGTCGTTAAAGGTTCGTGGGATTCGCACTTTTGAAAAGCGGAAAGCTGTTTTTAATCGGCTTGTAAATTCCGATGCCGACATAATTTTCCTGCAAGGAATCAATCAAGAAAACGATTAACTTATGGAAATGGCGAGACCTATCTCTTATAGGCAGGATACAAATTGTTAAAACCTTTGCCATCCCTAAGCTTATGTTTAGAGCATCGGCTATTTCAATCTCTAAGGATCTCGTGAAACAAGCTGAATCGATCTTTTATCATTTTATCTGGAACAGAAAGGACAAAGTAAAGCCGCAACACAGTTATTTCAGAAGTTGAAAATAGTGGCTGGAACATACTTAATACCGAATCCATGATTCAGACCAAGCGAGTGATATATGCTTACAAAATTTTTTAGAGGAGTATGAAAGTCCACGGAAAATGTTTTTAGCAGAGCTTCTGAAACCTGTTGGTGCGAAGTTTTTACTGCATTGTAATTTTGAGGTTTCTAAACTGAATAGTTCTCTGCCAGCTTTCTACAGGCAATGTCTTGTTGCATGGTCAGAACTAAATGCAAGAGAACCTAGTTCAGTACACGAAATTGTAAATGAAGTCATATGGAACAACAATTTTCTCTTCGTTGATAAGAAATAAGTTTACTGAAGAGATATTGCGGATCAAGGCTTTCGTAAAATCTGGGACTTATTTTCTGTTGATAATGTACGACTTAACCCTGAACAAAGATTTTTCATTATGAGTGTAATTAAGTCCATGCCAGCAGCATGGTGTTTGTTAATTCGAACAGCTAATATTGCACCAGTGCTTTCTCCAGTCTGCCGAACACTCCAGCTATTTTGATAAATGATATCTTAATTCCAATTCTTCACGCTTCTTCAAAGCACATCTATCGGTTTTTTTTGGCCAAAAAACAAACCACACCCACCGCTAAAGAGACGCTATGCTCCCTGGTCGTAGGGGCGTGTGTTCAAACTCCAAGTGATCCTTGTATTTATGTTGTTGAGGGTGATGACCCCTTCATGATAGCTGTTCATGTTGATGACCTGATTCTTGCTGGCACAACTGATCCTAAGATTGCTCAAGTTAAGCAAAGCATTGCAGAAAGATTTGATGTTAAAGATATGGGAGTGCTCAATTATTTCTCAGGAATGCAGGTAATTCAGAAAAGTGGGAAAGTCTGGATTGGACAGCCCACTTATGCTGAGAAAGTGTTTAGTAAATTTGGGATGGACAATGCTAGACCAGTTGATACACCTGTGGATCCCAATTCTAAGCTTTGTAACTTTATTTGATTTACCACAAAATACAAATAACGATAAAACAAGACAGTTACACAAAAGCAAATGAAAGTGGCGAGGAAGCCCAAAAAGAAACCATGAGGCTTATAGACGTTGGGCTCCCTCAGAGTAAAAATAAAGTTAACAGTAACAGTAAGGCCAGGATCGAAAGTAAAATACAGTGAAGGTAAGAATAAATTAACTCATTACATAGACTGAGGTGACAAAATATAAAGTATGTACATGTAACAAAAAGTATAAAAATAATATCAGACATGTGAAGAAAGATAACTATTTACTGCAAGATTTATAACTAATAATTCGTATATGTTTATATGTTTGTTTTTGTTTTTTTTTCTCTTAGTATCACATGATGTTTAGTTATGTATTAGTTTTCTATTCTTAATTGTTTTATCTTTTCGTTTTGGAGGGCAGTTTTTATATGGGAATTCAGTTTCCCCCTATTGCTTTCCTTTACCTATTGTACTTTTATATATGTATATATATTTTTATTTTGTACATTGGTAAAAAGAATTATTAAACTTAAACTAAACAATGTAACAAAACTTTCTGAAAAACCCACAAAGGAACACTGGAGTGCTGTAAAGAGTATCTTCAGGTACTTGAAGGGAACTGTGAACTACGGTCTACAATACTCAAGAGATGCAAGAGAGCAGTGTGTTGGATTTTGTGATGCAGATTGGGCTGGTGACACGAACGATCGAAAGTCTGTTTCTGGCTACCTTTTTCAGTTGAATGGTTGTTCTGTCTGTTGGAGAAGTAAAAAACAACCATGTGTAGCCTTGTCAACAGCAGAGGCAGAGTACATTGCTCTGTCTGCGGCAGTTCAAGAAGCTTTATGGATGAAACAGCTTCTTACTGACTTAAATGTTAA